ATTATATTATAGTATAGTATAGTATATTATATTATAATATATTTTATTATACTATATTATATTTTATTTTATTTTATTATAGTATATTATATTATAGTTCATTAAAGGATATTCTGTTGTATTCTATTATATTCTATTTAATTTTATTCTATTTTATTATATTATGTTCTATCATATTCTATTCTGTTCTATTTTATCCCATTCTATTTTATTCTATATTATTCTAATATAATATATTTTATTTTATTTTATTTATTTTATTATATCTCTCATTTTTATATTCACTGATTTCTAAACCTCCAAATTATGTAATAACTCGCGATGTTTTGTTTACTTTGCAATTTATTGCATCATTGAGATTACTCAATAATTTTATTCTACTGTCGCCTTTAACCTTTTTCGAGCCAATATTGATACCTTTTTCGCAATATTTACTTTATTTCCTTCCAATGCTCTTTACCATAGCTTTTATTCTTTCTATTTTTTTTTGTTTTTCAGGCTCGGGAACTTTACTCATTACCAGCCTAAATGAGTCTGACAGCGGATCATACGAGTGTATGGCGACCAACGAATATGGCAAAGTGTTAAGTAATCCAGCTGATCTGCATGTCAGAGGTAATTTGTGGGGCATCTAAGACCTACTAATTGAGTATTGTTTTCTTTTCTCCAAATGGGTTCTATAAGCCATCTTCTTATTATTATCCATTATGTATTTCCATCATGCATTTCATGTACAACTTAATTAATCATCAATGATCTTATATTCTGCTATATGGTTTGTTGCCCAAAATTAGCAGTAGATGACAATTAGTATCTGACCAAGGTTGGCATGAATAAGTGAAAACCAATTATGTGTCAAGAGTAAATCAGCCCGACTGCTTCCTGATCCCACCGATATAGTTTAAGCTAAAACATTTGCTGGCCAGCAGAATATTAAGCGTCGCTGGATGCTTCCTCGGGAGCCACATTCTTAGTCTTTTAGCAAATATTCTGTATGATTTCCGGATTGTTGTAGGCAAAAATGTCAAAGTCTGCATTCTTTTGTGCTATAAAACGCTAGTTGAAGCAATGGTACATGTACCTGCATGCGATGCAGGAGACGCCAGCACGTGTTAAAGTAATAAATAGTGGCCATATGAATGCCATAATCTGCCTTAAATGTACTTCATTCCATGACAAAAGAAGAGATGGAGCATTGGGAACCATTAGGAGATATTTTGACTCATTACTTGAATTCCTATTATATAAACCTTTATTGAGCGTCTTCTTAGATCAAGTTAATTGCCATGCTTGTTCAAATCTCGCAAACGAGCTGCTGTCATGTTCTTATACAACGATTTAATGACCTCATTGTTAAAAAAATGATGCATCACTTGCATTTATTGCTGCCAGTTCGTTTTCTTCTATGCGATATATACATTCTCACTCGTAATCGCATTGTGCTTCTCAAACTGCCATCACATTTCGGCCAGACTTGATGGAGAAAAGTGTATCGGTTTGTCCACCATTTCACAGTCGGTTGTCGTACTTTCATCATCTCAGAGCCAAAAAATGTCCAATCATGAAGGCAAAAGAAGATGATGATGTTGATGAGATGGCCAATGTCGTTTTGTCCAGGTTTCCATTTTATAAATAAATTCACTAGACTGAAGGCCAATCCGTTTGTGATAATTTAGAGATGTCTCTGAATGTTACTTCCAATTACCCTGATTCATACTTTCATAAATGTCATTCTGATTCCGCCACATCACCACACCAAGCGGGGTTCGAACCCTGCCAATCACACTACCTCCCCTCCCCTCGTCAAGAAACATTGCTGAATCGCGCCTCAATGAGAAGAGACTTTCGGAAGGGGTGTTATAATAAAATAAACCACTTTCGCCTCATTTCATTCTTGGCAGATGTATTAGAAGTCATGCAAAGTATTATTTTAAAATGTTGCATGTCGACATGACTCAGACTTCAAAATGCCACAAAAAATTACATTTTCATCATTAGGCAGATTTATCATTTAATTCAATGCTGTACTTACAGTTTTTTACAGGGCAAGCTTGCACAGATGTAGACCTGAAGTGGCCGAACTGACTCAGTTTATTTTTGTTACTATGGGAAACAGGCGACACCCGGAAAATGGTGGTTCTCGCTTGGACGAAACGGTTGGGCCGAACTGTATACTCTTGCCCATCCGATTTTTAGAGTTTACGTGGAGAATTTGTTTTAAAAAGATGATCTCCACCCAATTTTCCATTTCATGTCGTCATAAAAGTCCAATCTAAGGTAGGGTGAATAAGAAAATAGTATCATAGTTAAGGCTTGTATGTAATTCGGAAAATAGGATATTTGCGGTCTAAAACAAATGTGAATTTCGCCTATCCCTACTTAAAAAAAAGATATTTCTTGTCCTTTTCTTTGTCCCCAGCACAAGTTCATATAATTTTACACTGTACATAATTTGACGAATTGTCACACTTAACTTTATCGTCAAGCTGATCCTCTGTCAATTTAATATTGCATCTGACTCAATGCATTTTTTAGACAATTTGACACTGGCCTTTTTCTTTTTGGCCCAAAAGGGTAAGTTCCAGTTCCCGCATTTTGTCATATTCTGCAATGGCGCATGGTCTGCCTTCTCCACCATTCTGATTGCTCTCATTTTACTGCATTCTAGCGTCACTAATGCTCTTCCCTTGGCCTGACCCCTCCCAAATTGCATCCGCATGAACTGGCTCCACATCTGCCTGGCTCCACTTTGTATGTGCTCGACTGTGTCCTAAAAGTCAATTTCCATCGTGACTCTGCCCCAAATAAGGTACAGAGACGGCTTGATTTTTGTCTCAATCGTCATCTGGAGGGGCTCAGACCCACGAGTCGAGAGGCAGATGCGTTAACTGCATCACTCCACGCGACACGCAGTTTTCCGTTCACGTCTGCTTGTGAGGAATTTCTCGTCTCACTGGCAATGCATTTTAGCATAAAGCCTCACTCTTCAAAGACCCTCGGAGGTGGTGAGGCAGCGGTGAAACGAGGCCGAAACGGCAGTACAGACTTTCGATGAGAAGAGCCTCTTGGAAAAGACTGGAAGAGTGGAAGGCAACA